GCTCCGGCCTGGCTGTTGGCAGCCAGCCTGCCCTCCTCTCCCGAGTCTCAGGCGGGTCCGCTCCTTTGCCCTGTTATTACCGCTGGCAGGTTCGCTTGTGCCTCGGGCAGGAGGGACACGGGTTCTACCAGTTCTCCTGGGTTCCTTCAGCAACTCACCGCCGCCGCCGCCGCTGCTGCTGTGCGTGGGGAGGGGAGGCGCCCAGGCCTGTTACCTGGAGTCCCCCCCCAGAGGCCGGGGAGGCAGGGAGGGGGCCGGGCGGGAGCGGGCTGGACTGGATGAGCCCAGGTGGTGAGGGCAGGATGAGTTTCCTACCAAGATCGCTATCCTGGAAAACTGGGGCTGCAGGGAGGAGGTCAGGGTGCGCACGGGGGCGGACGCCGGGAGCCCCTGTCACAGCTCCTCCGGGTTTGGGACATCCTGGTCCGCGCCCAGTCCCCTCGCGCCTGTTCTCCAGGTTTGACAGGAATGTCCCAGACAGCAGTGGCTGCCGCGCCAGCAGGAGCGAGCACACTTGGCATTGCTGCCGCGTGAGCTGGACCCTGACACTCTTGGGCCCCTTGCTGTCCTTCTGAGGACTCTGCCTTTTGCCCCTCAGTTGGGCTTCCGCGTCTCCAGAACACTCTTTCTCGTACTTCTCGGGAGGACAGCATGACGCTCGGCACAGAGCCAGTCCCAGCTGCCGGGTGGCCGTGGCGGCTCCACTCTCCTGGGCTGCAGAGACGGGGCGGGGGGGGGGGCGGGCGGGGGGGGGCTGCGCACACACCCCAGACAGGTGGTGTGCGGGGCTCAGCTGCCTCTGGCGTCCCCTGTCCCTTTTCTTGACTCTGTGGACATGGTGACATTTGGGGGCTTCCGAGATCTCTGCTGGAGGGTAGGGCCTGGGGACACCCTGCCCGCTTCCTGCTCTCCTCGGTTCCCACCCACTACTGAGCCTGTCCCTTCCACCCACTGACTGGAGGGGCTCGGGCTCGGGGCCCAGTCCCTACTGATCTCCGTATTCCCCAGGGACTGGGCACGCCGTAGGCGCGGAGTGCTCCTAAACGCAGACCTGAAAGGGTCTCCCGTTCCACAACTGCTGCTAATTTGAAAGACGAGAGCCCCGCCTCCAGAGCCCAAAAGCCCTCGGGCCAGAAGCTGGCCTCCTCCCTTACCACCCACCTGACCTTGAGCAAGACCTCGAAACTCCCCAGCCTCAACTTCCCTGTCTAAAAATAGGAACAGTAATAACTACCTCCCAGGATTGTGGGGATTCGTGATGATGTCAGAGAGAAGCGCAGCACGTGCACTTAGTAGGAGCTCCATGCCAGGCAGCGGCGATTGGCGGATGTCACAGGACTGTTTGCTGTGTGCCGAGAGCCGCCGCCCGTCCCGAGGACCCCGGGGTTGCTCTGTGCGGCGCCGGCATCTCGATATCTCGTGGCGCCCCAGGAGCCTCCCTTGGTGTGCTCTCCTGCCCCGAGAGCTGGGGTCCCTCTGCTCCCGGGAATGGCACTGGCTGCTGTGGCGCGGCTCATGGGCAGTGTGGCCCCACGGCTTGGGCCGGCCCAGCAGCCGGGCCAGTGGCACTGGCTGGCTCCCTGCTCCGGGCAGCTTTGCCCAGGTTTTCTCCTGGTGGTGGTGGCAGGGGCTGGGGGTGCAGGTTAGCTGCCCCCTGAGATCTGAAGTCAGAGGTGGGGTCTGAAGTCATGGCGGGGTGCCTGCGCTCGAAATCCGGGCAGGGCATGGAGCGCCACCGGCTGCCCACACTGCCGTCCCTGGGCACGTTGTCTGCGGCCCGGCCTGTGTTTCATTCTGCTCGGAGAGGCTGGCCAGGGCGGGAGTGGCGCTCTCGCCCACTGTGAGAGGAGAGGACAGGCGAGGAGCAGAGGAAGTCACTCACGGGAACCCAGCCCGCACGTTCAGGAGCCGGAGCCAGCAGATGTGACTTCACCCAGGACCAGGGCAGCCTCCAGCGCCAGCCCGCAGCGGTGCCGGGCCCGAGCCCCGGGGGTCCAGGAGCCCGCCGCCCAGGAGGAGAGCCGCCAGAGCCAGGGGCCCTGCCAGGGGAGCCCCTGCCCCGGGCGGGTCAACGTCCTCATCACCCCAAGTTCAGAGCGAACAGGAAGAGCCAGCCGCCTGCGTTACTCCTGCTGGCGCTTCCCTTCCCTTTCTTTCTCTGTGGGGTGCTCATTCAGCCCAGAGGTCGTGGCCACCGTATTTTGTTCTGACCTTTTAGATTTTTGTGGGCGGAAAGAGCCTGGAAGATGCTTTTGTCAGGCCTTCAGCCCTGTGACCGAGTCCCGCGGGGGTCCCTGACCCACGGCTCCCAGGCCTGGCCGGCGGCCCTCCAGTGACGGCCCCCCCGGGCTCCCACCCTCTCCCGCGGCCACACTGGGGCAGGCCCTGCGGGGGGTGGGGGGGCCTCTCTGCCGTGGAGTCTGCCCCCCTCCCACCCTCCCCTCTCGGCCCAGGTTCCGACCTGGAACCGCTGCACTGGCCTTTCCCTCTGCTTCAGGCCAGCAGCTGTGTGTCCACTCGCAGGGCAGTTTCACAGCCTCCGGAACCTCTTCCTCACTGCTGTGGTTTGCCAGTGTCTTAAACGGCTTTACTGGGAGGGGGGGGCGCGTGTGGGCAGCTGGAGACACAAAGTCTTTACAATAGAAAAGGACTTTTGAACTCAGGAGCCCACCTCAGTTAACAGACAGGAAACCGAAGGGATACGTCCCTTGCCGAAGGCCACACAGACAGCCCAGGCCGGGCTGGGCCTCGCACCCGGTCTCTGGTCTTCCCCGCCAGCACGGCCTGGGGAGCAGCCCCAGGCGGGGGGAGGTGGCCTTGGTCACCGGGCTTCTGTTCTGGTCCAAGACCCGTCAGCTTTTCGGGGGGTGGGGCAGCCCCATCTCCCCGCTGACGCGCTGAATTTCAAATAGACTAAAACCCCCTAAATTGTTTATAACTTAATTTTCTCCTGATTGTAAAAATGATATATGCTTATTGTATAAAACAGAAAATACATGAAAATATAAAGCATAAACCTTTATAGCACTTCTTGTCAAGTTTCCCCACCCTGCACTTGGTCGCTTTGTTTTTGGTTTAAAAATCCATTCTCCGTAAGACCCTCCTGCTCGGTCCCAGCCGGCTCTCCCGCCTCTCACAGTCTCGTTTTGGTGCCAGTTCTTGCTGGCACCTGCGCAGGGTTCAGACACACACTCAGGGGCACCGACTGAATGGTGTACGCACTCAGGCTGTTGGGGCGAAGGCAGACGGACCCCGTTTTCCTGCATTCTGCTTCACAGATGTGCTTTTTGCAAACTGAAGTCAGGGCTCTCCACCAGCAAAAAGGCTACAATCTACGTTATCACGATACTTAACCGAGGTGGTCTGCAGCCCCGCCCACCGTATCTCTGAGGCATGGCTACCCTGAGCCCCTCGACCCACCTCCTCTCTTCTTCTTTCCTCTCAGAAACAGCTCCCTTCTTTGTTTGTTCTACTTAGATTCTCCACTTCCCAGCCCTGCTGGGTCACATCTCTTCTAAGAGTCTGTTCTTTCAGGTACAAGACTCTCTTTCGGGTTCCATAGCACCTGCAGCCTGGCCACACCGTTTGTCCTTAGCTATACGCTGACTTGCACCAACCTCTTCCCTCTCCTGCACCGGGCCCGTTTCCCGGTCAGTGGGGGAACCCCGTGCTTTCCTTGTTTCCCTTGTGGCACCCATCCTACGAAGTCTGGTGATCACTATGTGAGCCCTTAACATGATGCCGGCCTGGGCCTGCTGGGGAGGGGCTCGTCCGAGTGGTGTCCCACGCTTGAGCTTTTCTGAGGAGTAGGAGAGAGCCGAGCTCAGAGGGAGTCCTAGGACCCCTCCCCATCCCCAACCCTGACTTTCTGGGAGCTTGTCCCCAGCTCCTCCTAAAGTGTACATAGCAGTCACTCATCTGGGTTCCCAACAACGGGTTCCGCTCATCCCGGGACACGTGAAAGTGGGGTTGGGTCGGCCTTTCACACCGGGGCTTGTAGAGACGCAGAGGCGTCCTCTGTGCCTGGCTGTTCAGAGACGTAAGGGTGCTTAGTGGCCCTTTCCAGCCCTCTGAGCTGCCCCCTGGGAGCCCGAGAGGTCAGATGGGTACGCTCTGTTCTCCTCCCAGCACCAAAGTGCTGACCCTCCTCGCACCTCCTTCCCCTGCAGCTCCCCTCCTCCTGCCCACTCCTCCCCGCCCGTCTGGGGGGACGTGACTGCAGGACACTTAACTGGGACTTGGGTTCCCGCGTCCCCAGAGCAATCAGGTCTCCCTGAGACATTCCGGATAGGTAACGGGGAAGATCAGGTCAGCTCTAAATTTCCTTCTCTGTTGAGCAGCCTCCGGGTCTCTGCATCACGGTGTGCACTGCGCTTCCCAGCAGAGGCCTGAGCCCATCTGGTTTGTGTCCAGCTCCACCGCTGGTTCGCTGGTGAACTCTGGGCCGGCTGCCTAACTTCGCTCCGCCAGGTGGTGATACCCCGCACCCTGGAGGGCGGCTGGAGGATCAGGCGAGCTAACGTGATCACACACGAGCGTGCCTGGCACAGAACAAGTGCTGCGCAGGCGGGGCCCTCCCTGCAGCTAGGTGTCTGACCCAGAAGTGACATGAACTCTGTGTCCTATTATTTGGGAAGTGGCTCTTTGTCCTTCATCTATTTCCGGCAGGCTGCTGGAAAGAGCCAGGCTGGACCCCCAGGGACGGCAGTGGCCCAGTGCAGAGCCCCGTGTCAGGATGTGGGAGCATGAGGCAGGTGAAGAGAGCCCCAAGGCTGGCGGGATGGGGGGGGGCTGGTCCTGCTGCAGCCCCAGGGTCAGCAGGCATTGACTGCCGACACCAGAGGCAGGCCACTTAATCTGTCTAGGTCAGGTCCTCATCCGAGGCCACTGGTACCCGTGACAGGGTAAAGCTTTGAGTAGAAACCATCAATCATTTTTGATTAATTTTCATGCAAGTGGAAAAAGAGGCCTATCAGAAAAAAAAAAAAGCAGAGACAGAAAAAGTTTCTTTGATTTTAATAGCTGGGGAGCAAGTTACAAAATAAAATAGATAACACAGAGCCTTGTGACGCCCTCCGGTTGGCAACGAACACAGGGGTGCAGACATGTAAACAAGCAGCTTCCAGGTCGTGGTGTTTTACCCTAGAGAACTCCCAGAATACGGCAGCTCCCACACGCTCTAAAGTGAAGCAAAGCAAGAGTCTTCCATTCGGAGAGAACAGGCGAGGCCCCTGGCCCTCGGCGGGGCGGGGCACCGTGCCACTGCGGCTCTCCCGGGCCTGGGCTCGTGCCTCCTGGGCTTTGGCTTCGGGGGCGGCCCAGCAGGCCGGCCCCCTCCCCAACCTGGCTCTCCCCTTGGGCCCACCCCCCTTTTCTGTTATCAGCAGGAAACCCAGCCAAGCCAGGGGGGCCTGGCCAGTCCCTCAGGCAGAGCCAACCCAGAAATGCCAGCTCTCCCCTTAGGGGCTGGAGAGCCAGACTCGCGATTCCAAAAAACAGAAAAGAAGCTGCAAATATAACTTATTTACTGTCAGAAAGAAAGTGACGGATATAACTTATTAGCCATCTAATACTGCCCTCCCGCGCCAGGTTTCTAATGTGTCTGGTTGTCATTCTGTCCAGTTTGTTGGCCGTTGTCCTAGAAGTGTTTCTTACTCAACCAGGCAAAGAGAGGACCCGGCTGCCTGGCCCCCCCTCTCCTCTGCGCCGCCAGCCATCTCGGAGATGCGGTCCACCCCTCACGCTCTAGCTGGGCAAGGCCTCGACCTCCAGAACGGTGAGCTGTTCCACGCAAGGTCTGTCCTCGGGAGACGAGGAGGCCCTCGGTCCTGCAGGCGCGGCTAGGGACGGCGTGGGAGGGACGAGCAGACGTGATAGGCTGTCCTGGAAGCAGGGGACGGCCCCTCCTGCCAGCGTGGTACGTCCCCCAGGCAGGGCCGGAGGAAGGACCCAGGTGAACGCCCCAGGCAGTACCATGCGGTGGGGCGGGGCAGCCGCCCCAGGGCCGAGGCCCAGGGGACGAGTCTTGGATAAAATAGGACCTCATGGGGAGGGAGATAAGCCAGCTCCATTCTCACTTAAAAATAGTCATCGTCGGCCCCAAAATATATTAATATCTGTACATTTGCCATTAAAAAAAAAAGGAAATCAAATTTCCTTGGCACCTTGTCGCTGATTTTAAAAAATGAGGTGATGTGTGGCAAGACCTCCTCTGTGCGCATGTGCACAGCTCAAAGCCACGCCCCCGTGCGCATCCCGGCGGAGGGCCGAACCCCGGGGGCCCCGGGCGTCAGGACCACCGGCAAGCGTGTCGGCACCTGCTCCACCGCTGCCGCCCGTAGTTCAGAGCGCGTTTGGCCAGCGATCCTGTCTCTGCCGTCCGAGAGGGGCCAGCAGCACCCCCGCTGTGTTCCAGAGGGGCAAGGTCACAGGGCCGCCCTGCCGTACCTCCTCTGGGACGGAAGTCCCAGCCTGCCCCTTGCCCCAGACTTACACACATCTGCCCGGGCTCGGATCGGCCTCTGCCCGTAACACACACATGTGAACACGAGCAGAGGCGAGTTCGGGCGCGAGGGGGCACGTCAGCCGGGGGGCTCCAGTCCTGGTCACCGTGTTCCAGCAAGGGGCCGCAGGAGGGCGGCCGGCCGGCTGGCCGGCCAGGCAGCAGGGCGGTGAGGCCAGGGCGGGCCGCTCAGAGGTGGTGGTTGCTCTGCAGCAGGGAGGTGACGGTGTTCTGCAGCGCCACGGCCACCTTCTTGGAGGTCTTGCGCAGCAGCGGGCTGTCGGGGTGGTGCTCCTTCAGGTGCAGGATGTGGCCCTCCTGGCTCTCGGACGTGCAGCCGCACTCCTCGCACACGTACAGCTTGGCCCGCCGCTCCTTGTACGCGTACTTCTGCTGCACGCCGTGGATCTTCTTGAGATGAGACTCCAGCGAGCAGCGCTGCGTGAAGGCCTTGTCGCACAGGCTGCATTTGTAGGGCCGCACGCCTGCGAGGAGGACAGGGCTGGGCGTCAGGGACCCGGGGGCGGCTTCCCGGACACAGGAAGGCCACGCTGCCCGACTCCGGGGGTGGGCGAGGAAGGGACGGAGGCCCGTCCATTGCCAGCTCCCCGAGTGACCTACCTGCCGAGCTGAGGGGGTCTTCTGCCCCGAGTCCCCTCCCAGGCCACCCGTCGCCCCCAGACAGCAGGCCTCCGGCAGGCGCCCGCCCACGGGGCTCCGCTCACCAGTGTGGGTGCGGACGTGTCTCTTCAGGTCGAAGGTATCATTGAAGCCCTTCCCACAGTAGGTGCAGAGGTGCCTCTTGACGTCGTTGTGACACTTCATGTGGCGGTTCAGCATGCGCTGGTAGGTGAAGGTCTTCTGGCAGATGTGGCAGGTGAAGAGGTCCCCACTGGGACTGTCCCCCAGAGTCACCTGTGGGCGAGGACAGTCTCCGTGAGCTGCCCAGCACCGGGACGGCAGATGGGCCGGTTGGGAGGCCACAGACGCCGGCCCCCGGGCCCCCCGAGAACAGTGCCGCCCACCCCAGAGGCCACATCTCTGTGCCATGGCGCACAGAGGTGAGCGGGGACGGGGCTGGAGGAGCCTCCGGGTCCGTGTTGCCTCCTGGGCGGTTCCTGAGTCCCCTTTCAGGGCTGCCCCCCACACCCCCTTTTCTGGAGATGAGCGGCCAACTCCCTACATAAATCAACGGTCCAGTCTGCCCTCAGCAACTCTACCGCTAGAAAGTTCTCCCTCCACCGAGCCCCCACCCTTCCCTGTAGTTTCTCGTTCTGTGCCTCGGGACAGGAGAAATGTCCGTGGCCCGGTCTGCGGGGCAGCCTTCCGGGGCTGAGGCCGCCACGGTGAGCCTGCGGGCGCCTCCGGGGCAGCCCGGCCCCTGGTGCTACTCGGGCCAGGCCTGACGTGGTGCGGTTTGAGTCCCTTTGCTGTTCTAATGACTCTCTTGCTTATACACATTTTTCTTTTTCTTTTTTGTAATTGCAGAAAATCTCAAATCTATCCAGAAGTGGAGATGCGGCCGCAGCGCTCCGCCTCCGTCGGTGTTGAGGCTGCGTGTACTTCGTGGGGTGCCCGTGGCTGGCAACGCCTCCTAAGCCCCTGGACACCGAGTGCGCCTGGCCACACCGCTCCCCCTCCTGCTGCGCTGCTCGGGCACTGGCTGGGTGCCCGCTGTTGCCAGCTAGTCAAGACCAGGGCTCACTCCAGCGCACTGGCTCTCCCGCGGCCTCTGGGCTCTCTGCTCACCCTCCCTACCCGCTGGGGCCCACGGCTGGGAGGGGGACCGTGCAGGGGACCGGGAGCACTGCGCTGGCTCTCCGGCCAGCCCGGCACAGGTCTCGGGGGTTCCCCTTGAGTTACAACACACATTTGGCCTCTGCAGGTGACAGAGGAAGGAACAGCACCCCTGCCAGTTTCTCCCAGTCTTTTGGCACACGGGACGGTGCTTTGCGAACCCTTCCACTAGATCAGTTCTGGCAGGTGCTCCCCGTCCTGGAGCTTTCCAGAAGGCAGGTCCAGCCAGGGACAACCCTGTTGTCTGTGCGCACTCCTCGAAAGCAGGGGCATTTCCATTGCCTGGCACACAACTTCCTGCTTCCGCGGCTGAGCGCAGCAGGGCACCCACCAGGCCCGCCCCTAGGTGCAAGGCCTCGGGTGCTGCCGCAAGCGGCACACCTGGGCAAGATGGGCAGTCAGCCACCCAGCAGACTCCAGACCTCGCTTGCACGGCAGCCTGGACGAGGGGCTGGGGGAAGCTGCTAAGCGGGCCTCCCGTCTCCCTGAGTTTGCTGGGACTTCGGTGTAAAGAGGTGGCTTTCCTTGAGGCACTCCTTCAGTCCCAGAACGGACTCCAAAGGGTTAACTGTCTCTGGAACCCCACTGCTTCTCCCCAGCACATATATGCCATTCTCACTCCGGACCCACCTTTCTTCTTTTCCGGCCCCTTCCTAGGCCCCAGCGAGGTCCACTTTCTCTGCAGAAGCCTGGACCCAGGTCCAGGGCCAGCGTCTACCTAGGTTTCACGTGCACGCCCCCCCCTCCAGGCTGCACCAAGGGGGCCGCCAGCACGGCTGTTTCTCCAGACAGTGTGAGGTCAGTACCTTCATCTTGGTGCGCAAGAAACCGTGGTCTCTGCTCTGGGCGTCTGCCAAGCGGCCCGTGTCTTCAGAGGGCAGCTGGGCCACCACGCAGGGTCCAGGAGCCACACTGTAGCCGGCGGAGTCCCGCATGCTCATGTCCAAAGCCATGGGGCAAGAAGGGGGCTCAGCCACCGAGGGCTCCGGTTCCAGGTAGGGCTGTGCCGAGCAGAAGCCCAGGCTGACTGCAGAGAGAAGGAGAGCTGGGTCAGGGGCTTGGTGGGGGAAAGGAGGGTCCCGCGGTGTTCCAGGAGGGCTCCCCGGCAGTGAGCCGGCTGGGACCTGGAGCCTCCCTCCCACCCCTCACAGGCATGCGGCAGAGCAGGGCTCCCCCCAGCCCACTACATGCCGCACCTCCCTGCTGCCCCATTAGGGTAATTACAGGTGACGCCAGCCAAGAGCCACGACCCAGAAGCCCGCCCGCTGAGTAACTTGTGTCTTAGCGGAACTGGGAGGACCGAACCTGCCCTGCCAATTATCCCTCCAGAGCCGTCTGCCTGCCCCACCTGGGCCAGTCCCTCTGGATTCCAGGCCTCACGCACGCTCCCCGCCTGGACAAAGGGCACCACGGGAGGCCCTGCACCCAGGGACTCGTCCCCACCCCAGAAGGGTTCTGCTGGCCTGGGCCATCCTGGGCCTCTCCTCCAGGCAGATTGAACTGCTGGCCTTGGGGGAGGGGTGATCCCGGCCCCTTCCTTCTCCAGACCGGCCATTCCCTGCGACTGTGGCCCACTAGGGCTCCAGGCTCCCCTACTCCCCGCTGGCCCAGCTTGGCGGGCAGACGGGCCAGGTGGGGTGGAGCGGGGAGGAGGTCAGGGAGCAGCAGGTGGATGCTGCGTAACAGTCTCCTGGGCGGCCTGCCCAGCGGTTACGCAACCCTCCCCCACAGCAGGGACCGCTCGCTAGCTGTGGCACGGTGAGGGCTGGGCTCCCGCCCTCTGCAGCACCGATACCTGGCAGCCTTTGACACAGCCACGCCCCGCGACAGACACCTCGACTCAACGGGGCCGGGGAAGCTTGGCCCTGGTCCTGACTGGGGAGGAGGAGGAACAGTGTTCCGAGTGACACAGAGGAAACGAGTCTCGAGCTGACAGCTGGGGCAAGCCCAGCTAGTGTTTCGGTTTTAGTCAAGATCTCTCTTCCACAGGAGTTAAGCTCTGTACTTGACATTCACACGCTAGGAACGGTTTTCAGGCCTCAGAAGGGAAAATCAGGAGCGGCCAAGACAGACAGGATGAATGAGCTTCAGGGGGAGGGACCGACAAGGTCGAGTTAGGGGGTCAGGGCCTCTGTCCCCGGCTGCCCACAGCCGGTGAGCCAGAGTGGACCAGGCCCCAGGGCAGGTCCCCTGCTCTCCCGGGACACTGCGGTGAGCCCCCCGGGGGACAGACAGGGGCGTGAGGGAAGGCAGAGGAACGCACGGATGGCGGGCAAACAGGCGAGCACCGAAGTCACGCAGTTTCGGGAGAGGCCCTGGCTCTCGCCCCCTCAAAACACAACAAAGGTCTGACGGTGGGGAGAAGAGTGCGCCGGCCCGCCGCCCAGAACCCGTTCTGCTGGCACTGGCGTCCGTCTGTCCGGGGACTTTAATGAGCCACCTCATTCTGGGAGCTGATTCACCGGTGCCTGGCTCTGGCCTGGCCCTCTGAGCTGGCGTGGCGCCTCCCCGAGCCCCGGGGGGCTGGGAGTCAGTCCCGAGCTCTTGGGGTCCCTCTCGCTACAGTGACGGTGGTCTGTATACGCAGGAGCGGGGCAATCTGCCTCAGTCCAGGCAGAGAGACACAGGAATGTCCACCCTCTTCTGTCTTTCAGTGTCGGAGGGCGTGAGCGAGGCCCCGCAGAGCCGGGGCCAGGCCACACGTCCGCACACGGGCCGCAGCGAGGGGAGCTGCTGCGACTCTCCACTCCCCGGCTCCGGTGGACGGGAGGCTCCATGCTAGGGCTTCCAGGGACCCAAACCAGTTCGGGAGGAGACCGTGAGCCTCCCTCTTTCACTTTACGGAAACCTGGAAACGGCGGTGCCGAGGGGCTGGGGCCGCTGTGCGCCTGCCCAGCCGGGCCCCTGGGTCCCTCTACCCCCAGAGCGGGCAGCCGGCGCTGCCAGGGTGGGGCTGTTTGCCTCATCCCGGCCACCCGCCCAACCGGTCTTCCCACCACCCCCAGAGCGCGTCCCTGATGCTGCTGCACGCACAGGGAGTGCTCGCCCGCGTGCCGCTCCCGGCGGCACTGGGTATCACCGAGCGGCAGGAGGCAGGAAGCAGAACTGGTCGGGCCCTGCTTGTCCCCTAATTAGATGTTTCCGGCAAGGCGGTGGCCGCTGTGGCTACTCATTGCCCGCCCACAGCCGTGAAGTGTGGCAAGGCCAGACCAGCCTGGCCCTCTCCTCACTCCCCGGGGGACCTGCAGGTTCCCCTGCTGCTGGCCCCACCCGTCTCCGCCTGCACGACCTTGACCTCGAGCTGCTTCCCACCCAAGGGCCCTCCCTGCCCCCGTCACCCTCACAAGCCCCGTCTCTCTTGGATTGGAAGCTACTGGCCCAAACTCGGGACAGAGTGCCAGTCCTGCTCCATCTAAGGCCTCAGGCCAGCGCCGGGCACCAGGGCTGGTCCCCAGCTCTCTGGGGAGAGACAGCGAGGGAAGCAGATGTGAGGAAACCTGGTCTCGGGCCCGCGGCTGGCGCTGGTGCCAAACTGGCGCTGGGGGGGGGGGGGCGCAGTCCGGGTTGGCGGTAGGTGGCCCGACACCCTTATCAGCAAGGGCAGGGGGCCTGTACCAGTCTCCTCCAGCCCCACCAGGTCAGCCGGCAGTGCCCAAAAGGAAGCCGGTGCCAGCCAACTGCCAAGGCCGCAGCCCTGGAAACACAATGGGTCTGCCTCCAGCCTGGCGTTTCCATTCCGTGAAAGCCAAGTTTTCCTCTCAGGCATTCTCGTTGCCCTCTTCCCAACCACTTTTCATGCTGCGTCCGCAGCGAGGTTGAACCGGTGCCCCGCGGCCCTCACACTAGGTGGACAGCACTGGCCAGCAGGGGGCTGTGCTCCCTGGGCGTCCTTCATGCCCTCCTGTCCAGCGCAGAGCGGGCATCCCTGTGGGACTCCGTGCGGGACTCCCTGGAGGTGAACCGTGCCCAGAAGGGACCCCAACAGCAACAAAGCCCACATGTCACTCCGTCCTCCCCGGGCCCAGAGGGCTCGCCCTCACCAGCTCTCCTTCCGGGACCAATGGTCTGGCAGGAGCCCGCCTTGGGTCACCCAAGTCAGGACAAACAGCTTGGCAGCTCGGGCACCAGCACCCTATGGGGCGGGTAGGAGTCCCATCTGGCCCCCTGCCCAGGCCCACGTTGGTCTTCTGTGCCCGTCCACTGTCTGGCTTCCCGCCCTCCCAGCCCCACTTCCTGGAGGGCACGGCCTCCGTGTCCTTCACCGCCAGTACCTCCCAGGAATGACAGGAATCACCACCACCAGAAGGCCGGTCTTTCCCCGCCCCCACACGTGCATGCTGGGACCCTGAGCTGCCTTTCTAACTTGGCCTGGAAAGTGCGGGGCCGAGGTGCCCACACTGCCGCACCAGGGCCAGGGGCAGGAACCGCCAGTCTCTAGCCTGGCGGCCTCCGGGATGGGGGTGGGGGTGGGGTGGGGGGCGCATGTGCTGATGAACTGGCAGAACAGCCAGCGGAGGCTCTGAGGCAGCGGGACTGGCGGCTGGGGGTCTGGAAGAGACCCCCAGATGCGCCTGGCCAGGAGGGCGTCACCCCAGCTTCCCGGATCCGGCTGCCTTGGGGAGCCTTTCTGGCCTGGAGGGACTGCGCACTGCGCGCAGGGGGCTTGGGGGGCCTGCTCCGAGCTTCCCCTTCGGTCCCAGGAATGGAATTTAGCCCCTGGGTACAGGTGGCTGTGTTCATCCTCAAGGAACCGGCATCACTCCCGGCACTGCCCGGTCAATATTGACATAACAAAGGAGAACCGCTGGGAGACCAGGGGCGGGGAGAGGGGAGTGAAGGGCCTAAGCAGGTTAGCATTTGAACCTTAACTGCAAGCCCTTTCTTGGCTCCCAGCCTGAGTGGAGCCACCCCCTGCACACCCCGCCCCCCCCCATGGCCCTCCAGCCACTTTGGGGCTTTTCCCTGGCTTTGGGGGCAGAGTGAGGCCCAGGGGAAAGGTTCTGTCCCGGGGGCGGGGGAACCTCTTGGACTGTGCCTCAGGGCGAGGCTGGAGTGCCCGTCGGGCTGGGGCCCCGGAGCCAGCCAGGCGGGGCCCAGCGCCCGAGTCAGCGAAGGACACTCCTTCCAGCAGCTCTCTGACGCTTTGAGGGTGGCAGAGGGCCCTGGCAGGAAGGTCGGACCTCCAGCACCGCCCTGGCCTCTCTCGGGGGGAACAGCGGGGGTACACGCTTAGCTGGTCACAACGTGCCCAGTCTGTGGAGTGGGGTGAAGGAAACGTGCCCGGCTGGCTCCTGGGGTCACAGTCGGCTGGTGATAGATGGCCCAGCCTGGGGGACAGGCCACTGCAAAACATCAACCTCCCCCCCCACCCCGCCGCAGCCATCCGAGGTACCGGAGCGTGGCCCGAGAACATTCCATTTCTCATTTCCAAACACTATGGGAAACCTCTCCAGTGAGCCACATGACTTTTGAGGCAAAATTAAGTTCTTTAACTTCTGCCCTTTCCTTGACCCCGCCGGACTGTCCCTCGACAGAGCCAGGAGGGCGTGTGCCGGGATTCCTGCATGCACCCTCCAGGTCAGACCCGCCTCCAGGGTCTGGGGGCCACCCTGCAGAGCGGCCTGCAGGGCCCCCTCTCCGGGGCGGCGGCAGCAGGTGACACAGACACCCAGAAGCTCTCCTCCGCCACTCCCACTGTGGCCACCGGCACGGTGACGGGGGAAGTCACTAGGGCGAAAGAAGTCAATGATTTCAGCAAACGGAATTTCTTTGTCCTTTGTAAAAGCCAACACATGATCTGCCCCTGTTTGCGACGTGAGGCAAAACTAAAAATAACAGCACATGGAGCCTCACGGAGGTTCTCGGCTCACCTTTACCACAGTCCAAGTTCAGTTTATCAGATCCCGAGGAGCAGCTAAGCAGCAAGTCAAACACAGGTGAGGGCGGAGACAGCAGGGAGGAAGCGGCTCTCAGCCCTTGGCAGGACTTTCTGGAAGCGAGCGCCGAGCCGGGAACTCGGGGCAGCAAGAAACTATCAGCAGAAGCCTGGCCCCACCCCAGTCCGCCTCAGCTGAGGGGCCACTGACCCCCCGTTTGTCTCACTCACCCCACCAGCGTCATCAGAAACTTGTGGCACAGTCCCCCTTTTTTTTTTTTTAATTTTAATCCATACCCAGGGACATTTTTTCACTACTTTTTGAGAGAAAAACATCTGATCCGGGACCCCCTGGGTGGGGGAGTGGACGGGAAACCTAGGTAGGCGCCCTACCTAGGGATTGAACCTGAAACCCTTTGGTGTGTGGGCGAACACTCCAACCAACTGAGCCACACCAGCCAGGGAACAGCTTCCCTTGTTTTAAGGAGGCTACAGAAAAAGGGTCTCAGGGCTTGAGATCAGTTGGGCTATGAAACACCCCAGCGCCTCCGGCCTTTGCACCCTGGTGGGTCGCGCCAGAGGATCTCACCACTACACCCACTCTCTCCAAAATGCGTTTAGGAGAGAAATTGAGGTAAGAGCCCCCCCAGGGCCACCAGGGCCCTCATTTCACCACTCTCCCACAAAGCCTGGGGCGGTGCCAGGGAGCCAGCGGATCAAGGGTCAAAGTCGGTTGGTTAATTACAACCTCTCCCCCCTTGGAGGCGCTGGACTGGGTGTTCCGTACACCCCCGCTCCACCCCCGAGGCCTGAGGAGGGGGCGTTCCGAAGGAAACTGGCTTTCTCCAGACGGAAGGTTTGGGTGGGGCGGGGGAGGCCACTAGGAGCAGCAGCGTTCCCGGGGCTAACCGAGGAAGATGCCAGGGCAGGAGGAAACAACTCAGGTTACTTCTTCAGAGTAACTCCGACGCCACGGTCAAGGCGCTTTCCAAAAATAAGCTGGGTGCACCAGCTTCCCCCGCGCCCTGTCCCCTAGCTGCGGGACAGCCTCCTTAACACAACTTTTAGCTCAACTGTGTTCTCCGCAAGGTTGGAGGAGGCGCGTTAGAAATGATTCCACCTCCGTCTTCAGGGCAAGTAGGGAGCAGCCCAGCGCCTTCCCCACGGTCTCCCCGCACCCCGCCCGCCCGCCCGCCCCGCACTGCGACCTTCAGGCCCCCAGTGTGCTGGGGAAGAGGGGGCGATCAGTGAAGGCGGCTTACACTCAGTCTTCACATTCTGCACAAATCTCAGCCGAAACTCCAGCTCGCTCCCTGCCCCCCAAAGTGGCATCGCTCCAGTGCCCTCTTCCCGCCTCATAAAAGTCCCGACCCTCTGGATTTACGACGCGAGAGTAGAGGGTCCCTTGAGCGGTGACACACCCCGTTGCCTCCCCCGCGCCGCGGCTCGGACTGGTGGAGGGAGGGCGGCATCGCCCGGACCCGTCTCGGACTGGCCCGCTCTGGCCCCGCCGCCGAGTCTGAGAACCGTTCTCGCCCCCACCAGGAGGCCCCGGCCCCCAGCCCCCACCCGGCATCTCCTTCCGGCGCCCCTTCGCTCCCCTCCCCTCCCCCCCGCGCCGCAGGCTAACGGGGCTGCGGCCGCTTAAACATTAAATCCGGCGCTCCAACTACGCGGGCCGCCAGGTTCGCACCACTGCGCCCGCGAGTCCGCCGCCTCGACGGGGCCCCAGGCTGGAGGGCGGCGAGGGGCGAGGGGCCCGCGGGCCGGCGACCCACCTGGAACGTAGATCTCGCCGCGCTCCTCATCTGGGAGCTCGCTCCAGTTCCTCTTGCACGTGGAGACGCACGGCTTCTTCACCAGAAAAGCGCGAGGCATTTTCGAACCCCGATCGCCCGGCACCGTCCGCTTCCGTAAGCAGAGCTGGCGTCGTCCCGCGTTTCCCGAGCCCGGCTGGAGACGGCCAAGGGGAGGGGGCACGTCAGGGCACGAGTCGCCAAAGCGCCCCCGCGTTCCACTAAGAGACCGTGCCCAGGACTCCGCGCGCGCGTATCCAACTCCACGGAAAGAGGTTCCCTGCAGCCAGGTGCACCGGACGAGGGGTAAGCGGCAGGTAAGCGTCTCCTGGCTTGACTGGCGTCCCCCGCGGCCGCTCGGGAAGTCTTAAAGTGCGAGCCGGACGGACGGGTTCACGCTTTATTGGCTCGCGGCGGTGTGTGTTGGTGGCTGGGGCGGGGAGCAGGGGTGATCTGAGCTAATTAGCTTGGAGTGGCCCGGGGAACGACAGCGCATGCGTTGGGAAATAACGGTGACAACCCACCTATTTGTTACCTGTCGAACCGGTTTTCATTCCGCTGCTGGTGAGGTGGCCTCGCGGCCTGGGCGGGGTGGCTGGGCGGGGGCGGGGGGCGGGTGCAGGGCACTCAGCACTCGGCTGCCCAACCGGCCCGGCCGCCGCCCGCGCGTACCTCCCCGCCGGGGTGCAGCGTTCGCCAACGGGAGTTTGGGAGTTTCGGAGGGAGCAGGGGAGGGGAGGAGGCAACGTTATTTGCACCGGCGCTCGCACGCTCTGGGGTGATGAAATGAAACTCGCCCAACTGGGTCCGGCCCGGCCCGGCCCGGCGCGCCCCGGGTGCCTGGGGAGGCACGAAACCGTCGGGCGGGAACGGGCGGCCCGGCCCACACTTGTTGAACCCTGCCTGGGTCCAGGTGGCCCAGGATTCCAAAGGCCTGGCTGAGCGATTCTTGGTTCAGCCCAGAGGTACTATTTGCTGGGCGCGGGCTCCGCGCGGGAGGGCACGCCGGGCCGCAGGAGTGCGTCGGCCGGTGGGCGGACGGGCGGCTACGCGCAGGGCCGCAATAGAAAGCGAAGATCGCTGAACGCTGGCCGGAAAGTGTGGAAGGCTTCTTGGAGGAAGGGGCGTTTAAAACCGCTCTGATTCCACCGAGATCCCGAAAGACCCCAGGGCTTACGCACGCATATAAAACCCTCATGTTTGTCCCAAATGGATGGATTTCAGGCGCAGAAAGGCTAGAGGGCCGCGGTCCCCTTACGAAGTCAAGCCCAGCCTGTCTGCAGCCAGGAAGGAAGTCCATGTCTGCTTCCCACCCCACCCCCCCGTAGCCCACCCTTGGGCGAGTTACTGCCTGAGACCCCCACCCCGCCCTGCAACCATTCATCCTGCTTTGCCCGCCCCCAGGCCCGGCTGGAAGGACCCACCCTCCCCGCAACCTGCCACGCCCTGGCGGCCTCCCTCAGGCTTGTCACTGTGATACTTTGGCCTCAGCAGAGCTGCTCTTACCAAATGACAAAGTAAGGGCAGAGGTGGGACCCCTTGCTCTTTGTAGCCCCCTTCGTACCCCATGGAAAATAAACATCTCAGGGTCCCTACCACACGCACACACACCTTCCTCACATCTGCAATGTTTGCTGGAACAGATTAGGAGGAAATGAGTGAAAAATGAATTCACTGGGTTCCAAAGTCATGAGTGAAAAGAGGGGTAGCCTAAGAGAGGGCTTTAAGGCATGTAGTCAAAGAGGATAGGTTCTCAAGGGGTGGGGAGGCTTCCAGAGGCCCTTTACCACCCCCCCCCCAACAACAGGACTTCTGTGGAGCATCGGGCTGGGTGGGGAGTGTGGGCCTGCGCAGCAAACGAACCTCCTCCTCCACTCCTTCCTGGAATCTGTACGTGTAGCCAAGGGGCTTTCCTTTCAATCCTGTTTCCTGTCACCAGCCTCCTAGGGTCCCTGTGAAGGGAATGTGGACTCGGGCAGGGGAGCGTAGGGCTCACCTCCCTCCCCTCTCCCAGGGCTCTGCCTTCGGGCAGCCTTTGCCTGCCCGTCAGCCTTCTGCTCTTAGCCAGTGCTGTTTCATTCCACCGACAGTAAGTGAGCACCTACTATGTGCTTACCTTCTGAATAAATCCTGAAGAAAGATCGGCTAACAGCGTGTGTGTAGAGGAGAGGTGTGTGTATTTCGTTCACTCAGTAAATACTTACTGAGCACTTCGGTTGTACCTGATCCTGGCAGGGGTGGGCTAGTACACAGTGGGCGCTTAGTGAATACTCTATTGCAGTCTTCAGGGTTGCCCGTGGACACAAGAGGCAGTCTTGTGTCCAGGGGCAGAGACGGGGAGCAGCTCCAACTCTCCACTTGTGGGAAGCAAGTTACACAGCGTCCAGGATGAGGCCCACGGGTGGGAGGGATGTTTATCCACGCTGCTCCGTCTCCACGCCTGTCACTGTGCCTGGCGCAGGCACAGTGACCTGTGGAGGCTGTGAGGATGGGTTGCATCCCCTAGTTGAAATTTGCGTCTGTTGATTTTAGAAGGAGAGAGGAAGAGGGGGAGAGAGAATTTTAAAAACCCCGCACCGATTTGTTGCTCCGCTTACTCGCGAGTTCATTGGTCGGCCCCCACCGGCGCCCTGACCCAGGGCAGACCCTGCAGCCTGGGCTCATCGGGACACGGCTCCAGCCGACAGAGCGGCCTGGCCAGGGCCACCTCCCCGGTGTCACAGAGGACAAGCCCGAGGCTCGGGACCCCTCAGGAGACTGACTGGCCCTCGTTCAAGCCTTGGCTTTCCTTTCTCCCCAGAACTAGGCTGCACCGGGGAGGGCGGACACCCAGCAACGAGGTGTGGGCGTCAAGCGGGAGGTCCCTCCTCAGCCACCTGGCTGCAGCCCACACCTGGGCATCTCTGGGAGGTCACTTCGAGGGGCAGGCCCACTGACGGCAGATGGCTGGAACATCCATGTCCTCAGTGCCGCTGGCCTGAGTTCTCTCTGCGCCCGGCCTGCGCCAGGGCGTCACCCCCCCCCCCACCGGGGAACAGGGCAGGGCCCATGTTCCCTGTTGACCTGTGTTGACTGAATAAATCATGGGACCCATTCAGACTTTCACGTCCGAAGTTTTGGAACAGGCGTGGATACTGACCAAAGTTCTTTGTGTAATCCTTGCCTGAGGATACAGTCAGTGGTTTTTAGAGAGGAAGAGAGAGAGAGACATCAAGCGGCTGCCTCCCATATGTGCTGAGACCCGGGGGACGGAAACCCACCGGGGGACGGAAACCGCAACCTAGGCTTGTGCCCTGAGCGGGAATCAAAGCCGAGACCTTTCAGTAAACAGGACAGCGGCCCAGCTGACGGGGGCCACATCAGCCAGGGCACAGAGTTCTCTCCTGTAAGGAGAACGACAGTGCGAGTTCGGTGGTAACACGACTGGCGCTGACTGTCAGGGACAGACCGTGGAGCATGTGCCCGTCTGCACGGGCGGGGACAGGCATGTCATTCTAGCACAGAAACCCACCTCGGCCACATCTGCCCATTTTCCAAGAAAGGCAGAAAATCCAGATTTGTGTGTGAACGCTGTCAGTTCTTAAAAGTTGACTCAATGAAAAAGAAAAAACATAATGAGTCAAACAAAATACTTAATGTGGGTCGGATTTGACTCATAGGCTGCTGGAGTGTGTGGCCTGTGGTTCACGGGCTGCTCTGGGACCAGCGTGCGTGAACTTGGGCAGACACCGAGCGGAACTATGAGCTTCAGCCACCGGCTCTGTTTGGTCTGTGTGCACAGTGCCAGTTACGTATCCTTCATTCACTCCTTAATTTAGTCACCACGCATTTTTTTTTATTTTTATCTATTGATTCTAGAGAGGGGGTGGGGGAGAGAGAGAGGTCGATTTGTTGTTTCACTGCTTGATGCATTCATTGGTTGATTCTTGTGTACGTCCCGACCGGGGATCGACCCTGCAACCCTGGCGTCTTGGGACGATGCTCTAACCAACAGAGCTCCCCGGCCAGGGCCAGTAAGTGTGCGTTGAACACCAGCCGTGTACTAGGCACTGGGGATTCTGTGGTGCAAGGCAAACCGAAAACTAAGGAAACGATTAGTGTGACACGGGGCTTTAACTAGTGGTGGGATAGTGACGGGTGGGGACGCCAAGATCAGCATGAGAGGCAGGAGCCAGCTGCGCAGAGCAGGGAAGGGCCTGACCCAAAGGTGGAACAGCCGGCTAAAGGCCCCAGTGCGGGAGTAAGCAGCATGCACTCGATGAAGCGAGGGCCACGGTGCCGGATCTCCAGGGAGTGGGAGGGAGGTGGGGCAGGGGGTGGGGAACTGAGGTAGCAGAGGCAGGACTGGCGCATCAGGTGCGGTGCGGTGCGGTGCGGTGGGTGGGCTCGGACTCCGGTCGTGGGAGAATGCAGTGTATCGGGGGTGGGGGTGAGGGTGGTGGCCAGGAGGGAGGCTGCCCACCCAGTCCGAGCAGGAGGCGATGGTGGCCTGGGCCGGCTGCCCACAGAGCCGTGAGTGCCGACTCCAGGCGTTCTGAGTGGACGCCCCTCGCTGGCGTCGTGGACAGGGGTTGAAGGAAGGGAGGACCCCAGCAGGCAAGTGAGGACCATGCTCCCCAAAGAGTGGTGGCGGGTACCTGCCTCTGGTGCTTGGCCGCCATCCCAAGCAGCCCGGGGAGCCAGGGCAGGGGTGGGATGGAGGAAGAGGAGGCCCAGGGCCAGCCCTTCCGGTCCTCGGAGAAGGCTGCTGCAAGCTGGGCGGTGTGGCCGCAGGCAGGACGGCTTCTGGAGGCCGAGGTGCGCTGGGGGGACAAGCAGGAAGAGCACCGGGCCGTCCAGGTGCCCCAGACTCTGTCTCCGGGGACGTGGCCAAGCCACCTAGTCCGTGAGGGCCTCTGTTTACACATCCGCGGCTCCTAGTCCCAGCCCTGCTCCTCAGAGCTGTGGAGTGACGCCGTCGACTTGTGTTTGCCCAGAAGGCTAGAAGCCCTAGGAAATGGGCTCAGCCTGAAGGCAGGCCAGCAGTGCCCCTGGCCACCGAGGCCTCTGCCCGGCCCGGACAGTGGCCTTCCCAGCCCTGTCGGACAGCAGCACTGCGGGGGCCCCAAAGCCCCTAACAAACTGAAGGGCTGTGGGTGGCTCTGCACCCTTCATTTCTTGCTGAGTTCCTGCCCGTGGGCCTCTCGGTCCACTTCCAGGGTGGGCCAGGCCCCATAGGGCCCGCTAGGGAATGGGGTGCGGGGCTGCAGGTGGGCAGAGAGCTCCTCCTCAGGAGCTGGGGGGCCGTGGGCAGAGGAGCAGGCTCCCCGGGCCAGCTGGAGCCTCCGGAACAGTGCGGTGGGTGGGGTGGGGGGAGCGTGGGCCCTGCTGGAGGCGGCCGAAAGCCTGGTTAGACTCACCCCTGCGGCCGCGTGTCTGACC